GAGGGAGGGAGAGAGGAAGGGAGAGAGAGAGCACATTGTCTTTTAAAATCTAATCTCAGAAGTGGCATATCATTACTTCTGCCATATTTTCTCAGTCACACAAGCCAATCTTGGTACAATGTGAGAGAAAACCACACAGGAATCGAATACCAGGAGGCAGGGATCACTGGGCCGTCTTGGAGGATGGCTATAACACTGAAAGTTCAGGTGGGTACTCCATACCATAGTGTACCTGTTCTACAGATAGGAAGAAAGACAATTTGACCACACGATACTTCCTCTTCATTTGTTTTTCCAATGTTATTACACTTTAGGAAACTTTGTGAAATTTATGTTGCCTGCATTGTGACCTCCATCATTTCCATCCCATTGCCACCAATGAACCCTTTTTAAATTAAATTTATTGGGGTGACAGTGGTTAATATGAACATATAGGTTTCAGATGTCAGTCTCTATGTTACAAGATCTGTATATTGCACTGTGTGCCCACCACCCAAAGTCATACCTTCTCCCTTCACCATATATTAGGACTCCCTTCACTACCTACCCTCTTCCCTCTAGCAACCACCACACTGCTGTTTGCATCCACAAATTTCAATTTTATATCCCACATATGAGTGAAATCATATGGTTCTTAGCTTTTTCTGACTGACTTCTCTCACTTAGCATAACATTCTCAAGGTCCATCCGTGTTGTTATGAATGGCAGTCTCTCATCCTTCCTTATGGCTGAGTAGTATTCCACTGTGTGCATGTCCCACACCTTCTTTATCCAGTCCTCTATAGCAGGGCATTTTGGTTGTTTCCATATCTTGGCCACCGTGAATAATGCTGCAATGAACATAGGGGTGCATATGTCCTTGTGAATACATGTTTTCAAGTTTTTCAAATATATACCCAGGAGAGGAATTGCTGGGTTGTGTGGTAACTCTATTCTTAATTTTTTGAGGAATCGCCAGGCTGCATAGTGGTTGTACCAGTACTAATGAACCCTTAACGTACAACTCCAGCCCTTTAAACTTCAACTGCATTTAGACTCAGTGTTGAGTCTACAATTCAGCACTTTATCATTTTCTTATTGTTTTATATGTACTTACATGGTTCCCCCAACTAGACTGTATGCTCCTTATGAGAAGGGACCATATGTCTTTTTATTTGTAAGGGGCCATAGCAGCAAGTCCAATGCTGGACACATGGTAGTTGTTTAATCAAGAGTTATTCACTGACTGATTGATTTAGAGGACCTCTGGGAAGTTGAGGAGTCAGCAAGGAAGAAGCTTGGTCAGATGAGTCATCAGTCAGGTCCAGAGCAAAACTCCATAGACAGCTGCTTATCCCAGCTGGAGGAAGAAGACTGGCTCTTAGTCTGAGGCTCAGAGGCCACCTGCTGCATTTCACTGGGCTAATGACCAAGCTTCTCCCACACTGAGCTGCCCAATAACTCATGAGGCTGTAGGAAGCCTCATTTCTGTACGGGGCTGGTTGTACTCAGTCTTCCAGGCAAACACTAATGCTTGAGAGGAAATGGTTGCTAACAAGCAGAACTTCCCTTTTAATGTCTCCATGATTTGTGACATGCTCTGAAATGAGAAGCATGTCTGTTCTGCAGAACAGAGAAGGGCCACTTGCCTTGCACAATGTCATCAGCACACCCCACTGAGTCCTATGGATCTGACTCCAGTCTGCTCCTTAGCACTGGATCATATAACAGTTGGTGATTTGGGAAGGAAGCTCTATTCAGCTCAGTGCTGATGAAATACAGGCAGTGGTACCAACCAATGAACTCTGCAGTTGACATATATCTAAGTGGCAACACCAATATCTCAGATTGGAATCCCAGTGAAGAGAGCCCCTCCCCCTGACTCTGCTTTTTACTTGGCTTGGGGTTACCTCAGGTTAATGGGTCCCTACTAAAATGTTTGATTTTTCAACATGGCCTTTGGAAACCTTTGTTCTCTCAGTGAATTTACCTTCGTTCCTGTGTTGTTTGCACCTCAGCTTTTTCTATCAGCGATTTTGCATTTGTGGTAACTATGGGAGAAAGCCTGTGAAAAATGCTTTGTTATATTACATTGCCCCCTGGCTCCAATGAATTGCTCCATAAATCATGTTATTGTTAAAGTGTCCTAGCAAAACTAAACCACTTTCAGGGGCTCAGGAGCACAAGGATATTAATCAAAGGCAACTATTACAGAGGGTCATTTAAAAAAAAAAAAAAAGGAAAGAAATAAAAAACAGCTTTTAATGTGTGGAGCCTAGAGAAGAGCATTGGGTCTGCGCCAAACCAGAATATCTTTCCTCTTTCATAAATACTCTGATACAGGAACGCATTATCTCTGAACACTTTAGGCCTATTTAGTTTTACAGCAAAACAGTATTGAACACCTGCTGCACCTTCATGATCTAGTCCAAGCAGCGCAGGGTGAGAACGGGTGGTAGGGTGGGGACTCCATAAATCAGGAAGAACTTTTCATCAGATTCAACTGGGACGTGCAGCATTTGCTGAGCGGATGATAGGTACAAGCATCTCACAAATATTCCTGAGAGCCCTTGTCCTTACTATTGCACAACAGAGGCAAAGGACCTTGCTCCTTGAGTCCCAGGCTCCATGTGCAAACCTTAGGGAGGGGAAGTGGTAACAGAGCATTGGTTTCTCAGATTATTGCTCAAAACAACCAGTCAGCAGGCCCACAGCTTTTATTGAGAGCCCATAAACCACTCTGCACTAGGTATAATGGAAAAACACAAGCCCCCCAAAAGACCAAATTCTACTATAACAAACTAAGTTCTGGAACTTTAGTCAATAGAATATTGCTCAAAATAAGTGGCACTTGCTTGTCTTTTAAAAAAATTTTTAATATGTCTTTATTGATTTCAGAGAGAAGAAGAGAGAGGGAGAGAGAGAGAGAAACATCAGTGATAAGAGTCATTGATCGGCTGCCTCCTGCTTGCACCCTACTGGGGATCGAGCCAGCAACCCAGGCACGTGCCCTGACCGGGAATTGAACCACAGTCTCCTGGATTGTACATAGGTCGATGCTCAACTGCTGAGCCATGCTGGCTGGGCTTGCTTGTGTTTTTGTTGCTCAGATTTTTTATTGCAGGGTTTGTTTTCTTTTTTTTTTTTTTTCCTGCTTTATTCAGATATAATTGACATAAAACATGGTATAAGTTTAAGGTGGACAATGTGATGTTTTGAAACATGTATATATTGCAAAATGTTTACTGCAATAAGATTAGCTAGCACATCCTTCACCTGATGTAATGACCTTTTGATGTTGTTTCTGCGGTGGTGAGAACATTTAAAACCTACTCTCTTAGTCACTTTCAAGTATACAATACAGTACTATTAACTACAGTCACCACAATGTACATAATACCCCCGGAACTTACTCCTCTTATTACTGGAGGTTTGTACTTTTGACCAACATTGCCCCATTTCCCTCAGTCCCTGGTAACTACCATTCTAGTCTCTGCTTCTATTAGTTTGGCTTTTTTAGATTCTACATATAAATGAGATCATACAGTCTTTGTCTCTCTCTGTCTGATACTTTTCATTTAGCATAATGTCCTCAGAGCCCATCTATGTTGTTGCAAATGTTGTAATTCCCTTCTTTTTGACAGCTGAATAATATTCCAGTGTTGTGTGTGTGTGTGTGTGTTGTGTGTGTATCTATCACATTTTCTCTATCCATTTATCTGTCAATGGACATTTAGGTGGTTTCCATATGTTGGCTATTGTGAATAATTCTTCAGTAAATATGGGGGGTGCAGATATCTCTTCAACATAGTGATTGCATTTCCTTTGCATATGAAATCTTTTGGACTACATCTAGAAGTGGGGTTGCTTGATCATATGATAGTTCTATTTGTAATTTTACATACTGTTTTCCATAGTAGCTGCATCAATTTAGATTCCCACCAACAATGTACAAGGATTCCCTTTTCTTCACATCATCACCAGCGCATATCTATTGTCTTTTTGATGATAGCCATTCTAACAGGTGTGAGGCGATATCTCATTGTGGTTTTGAATTGCATTTTAGGGTTTGGTTTCTAATGGAATCTGACTTAAAGTAGATGGCTTGTGCCATCAAATGACTTAGAATCTAATGATATGTGACAATCACAAAAAGGTAATGTTTCTGAACATATGTTTAAATCCCATACCTACAAAACAAAATCTAACAAGTAGGGAGGAGGGGAGCTTTCCACTGATTAATTGCAACCAAGGTCAACCTTTTAAAATCCTTATTTCTTTGCCTTCTTCCTCATTTCCCAAACACACAAAGAAAGTAAAGGTCACTTGAAATGCCACCAACCTTTTAATATTTTGGTACATAATGATTATGATTAAGTAGACGGACTCAGATCAGCAGGCCTAGGCATGAATCATGGCTCCATGTGCCCCTGGTCAATTATATTATCTCTTTAGGCCTCAGTTTCTTTGACTGTAAAATGGAAAAAATAGTAGCATTAGCCTCATGTAATTGTTGTAAGAATGAAGTAAGACAGTTCCCATAAGGGGCTCAGAACATTGCCAGGCAAGTACTAAGTGCTCAGTAATGCTATTATTATATATACATATATCACTGCCATATTATTTATACATACATTCACACACAGTTTTTTTAAAGGGACCATACTTTACATACTGTTTAGGTTATCTTTTTTTAAACTTACATGTATTACGAACAATTTTACACATCATTAGTCTTCCACAACATCATTTTTTTAAATCCTCATCTAAGGATATGTTTTTATTGATTTTTAGAGAGAAAGAAAGGGGGAGAGAAAAAAGAGAGAGAGAAACATCAATGTAAGAGGGAATCATCAATAGGTTGTCTCCCATATGTGTCCTGACCAGGGATCAAACCCACAACCTAGGTATGTGCCCTAACTGGGAATCAAGCCAGCAACCTTTTAGTATATGGGATGATGCTCCAACCAACTGAGCCACCCAGCCAGGATGCCCACATCTTTTTTTTTTTTTTAATCCCCACCTGAGGATATTTTCTCCATTGATTTTCAGAGTGGAAGGGAGAGAGAGGGAGAGAAAGAGACAGAAAGACAGAGAGACAGAGACAGAGAGACAGAGAGAGAGAAGAAACATTGATGTGAGAGAAACACATTGATTGGTTGCCTCTCACATGTGCCCTGACCAGGGCAGGGGATCGAGCCTGCAACCAAGGTACATGCCCTTGGCGGGAACTGAACCCAGCACCCTTCACTCTGAGGGCTGATGCTCTAACCACTGAGCAAAACCGGATACATCATTTTTAATGGCTGCTGAGTATACCATTACATGAATATATCCTAAAGTACTATTTAACTAATCTATTGTTGAACAATTAGGTGTTTCCCATGTTTGATATTATAAATACCCTGTGAGGAACTGCTTTGTAGAGATTTCTTGCACATATTTTTGTTTGTTGCCTTAGGATAAATTCCCAGAACTAGAGCCACTGAATCAAAAGAAATGCAATTAAAATATTCTCAAAAGAATATAAACACATTACAGAAAATAGGGGGAAAATGTGATCCCACCACACTAATACAATTACTAATATAATTTGGCTGATTAAGATAGTCTGATGTTTCATTTTTACTTAGAAGAATAGAAGCTTCAAGTAAAAAATGAGCAGATGTTTATTATTTCTGCTCCCTTCTGAAATTCACTGAAATAACAATAAAGAATTTTTAAAAAGCATAAACCCACAATAAAAAGACAATGGAAGGGATGACAGGAGCCAAAAGACGTGATCAAAATTTTGAGAACTGAAAAGCAGACCAGATGAGTGATAACTGACTTAGTGGATCAGAAGGAACTAAAATTCATGTCATGACTTAAAATCCATGACTGGCTTTAAAAGAAGCAGCTAGACCCTCTGGAGTGCCTATCTGACCCTGAAAGAAGACAGAAGATTTACCCTCTAGAGAGGCTGAGCCAGACAGGTCCTGGATCAGGCACTTCCGAGGGTAGAATGAGGCATCTGAATGAAAGGGGAGTATTTAAGCGAAAGTTGACATGTCTACTGAAAGGAAAGATTCCCAGTTCCCTTCCTCAGCTCAGTTCCCAGAATGCTGGCAGCCAGGCTCTTATACTCTCCCTACCCTAAGACAGGAGATTGGAGAATTCTTCCATGAGCAACTTATAGATCCAAGAAAAAAGACTACAGAGGTTCCCCGAAAGAAATGTCTCTGCACAAGCTATGGCGAAGTTCGACACTCCCTCTCCATGCATAAAAGGATCACTAGGCATTAGAGAAAGCCCCTAACATGAAACACACCAAAACAAAACAAACTAACGAAAAAGAGGAACTCAGAAAAACAGGGCAGAATGCAGAAAAAATCTCTAAAAATAAAAAGATATTGCATCCATGAAATAAGAAGAGGCTATAAAAAATTAGAAAGGAAGAAAATGCTCTCAGTAGCTAAAAATATGATGAAATATATCAAATTTTCCTTTGAATGATAAAGTTGAGGAAATCTCCCAGAAAGTGAAACAAAAAGAAAAAGTTACAAAAGATATAAAGGTTAGAATATTTTGAGATAGAGGTTCTAGAAGGAAAGAACCAAGAAAATGGATGGGAGGACATCATGCAGGAATTAATAATGGGTTTGACCTAAAGGAGAGTGAAGCACAGTACAGTGAATGATAAAAGGCATAACCAAGACACATCATTCTGAAATTTCATAGCACCAGGAATAAAAATGTCATAAAAGTTTCTAAAAGGAAATTTTTCTTAAGCCACTTAAAAAGACTGACAATTACAATAGCAATTGAAGACAATGGAGAAATTCTGAGGGAAATTATTTTAACCCAGAACTCTATACCCAGGTAAACTATAAACCAAGTACTCTTATATAAAAACACAGTTTCAGACATTGAAACTCTCAAAAAAATTATCTGCTTTTCTCAGAAAACTAACGGCAGACATGCTTTGCTTAGACAAAGGAGTAAGAAAAGAAGCAAAAATGATGATGGAAAGCTAACTGCTGTAATTTGGAGACCCCAAAATAATTTAGTAGCTAATGAATACATAAGCTTATTGTTTTTCTCACATAGCAGTCTAAGGTAAGTATTCCAGGTCAGCAGGGCAACTCTGCTCCATTTAGTCATTCAGGGAACCAGATTTCTTCTATCTTGTTTCTCTGCCACTCCTTAGAGCAGTGGTTCTCAAAGTATGGTCTCCAGAACAGTAGCATCAGCATCACTTGAGAACTTGTTAGAACTGCAAAATCTCAGGTCTCAACATCACATCCAATAAATCAGAAGCTCTAGGGGTGGAGGGCAGAAATCTGTGTTTTAACAAGCCTTCCAGGTAATTCTGACACAAGCTAAAGTATTTTAGGGCATTGTCTTTTTCTATACGATTAAAGTCTGATTGCAGTTACTTTTGTTTGCAGCTCACCAGAGGGGAAAAGTGTGGAGGTATCATGGTGAGGCCAGGATATGGCTTACATTGTTTCCACTTACATTCACTTGGCAAAACCTAGTCCCTGGTAACCCCTAGCTTCAAAGGTGAGTTGGGAAATGTAGTCTTCAGCTGGGCAGCCACATATTGACTACAATTCTATCACTATGAAAGGAGGAAAGGACAGATCTAAGAGGATAACCAGTAGTTCCTACTACATGTATAATCTAGGCAACAGGAACCCTAATCCCTGAGAGCAGCAAAGATGAATCCCAGGATAATGTTGAAGGGACATCCCAGAATGCCCCACTCACAGACCAGAGCTATGAATCAGGCCACAGAGCAACCAGTCCAGATGGGAACAGGAGTGCTGGGAAAGCTCCAGGAGGGTTTCCAAGGAAAACAATGAAACCAAGAGAATATCTATATTTGAATGTATTGACAGTAGATTTTGTGGATGAATTAATAATAGGTACATAGAAAACTAAACAGAATATAAAAAGAGATAGAAAAGTATTAATTCCAGGGAAAACAAAAGGTTGAATGAGAAAGGAAACATAATTATAGGATTCTCTGTGGCTAAACTGGGAATAATATTTACATAGTCATAATGTAAACACTTAATATTGATTTAACCAAAAATTATGATGTAACTATATTGGGAGAATGAGCAGAGGAAAATTGTGTGCACGTCAGTTTAATAATGATAAACAACATTTATATAGCTGTGTATGTTATACTGTGTGCCAGAAATTATTCTAAGTTCGTCATATATTCAACTTTTAATCTCCCTAATCACTCTATGAAGTATAAATACTATGATCACTCACCTTACACATGAGGAAACTGAGGCACATAGCAGTTAAGCAACTTGCATAGGTCACACAATTACTAAGTATTAGACCCAGGATTTAAACCGAGGTCATTTCTCTCCAGAGTCCATGTTCTCGGTTACTATGCTGCATAGTCACACTTCCTGTGGTAGAAAGTCAAGAGATAATACTTAAAATCAACAAACTGAGAAATACAGGATAAGCGTGTTGTTAATGAATAAAGACATAAAAACCAAAAAGAAACAGTTTAAAGTGATTGCTTCTGATCAGGAGGTAACTGGGAGTGGTCAAGGAATTGCTGTTTTGGGGTGGTTGTTTTTTTTATTGTTATAAACCCAGTAAGATGTTCCATTCTGAGAACCTTTTAAACATCACTTTGATCATAATACATTTTTTAAAAAAAATATATCTTTATTGATTTCAGAGAGAGGAAAGGAGAGGGAGAGAGAGAGATAGAAACATCAATGATGAGAGAGTCATTGATCGAGCCCGCAACCCGGGCATGTGCCCTGACCGGGAATCGAACCCCGATCGCCTGGATCCCAGGTCGATGCTCAACCACTGAGCCACGCCCAGCCGGGCATAATACATTTTTTAAAAAGAGATATGATGGAAGGAATGTGCCTGGCTAAGTTAATGCAGAGCATAGAGAAGAATCACCCAAAAGAGAAGATAAAAAAAGACCGAATGGGTAAATTATTCAAGGAAGCAACTGGTAAAGTTATAGAAAAAGAGAAGTGTCCACCNGAGAGAGGAAAGGAGAGGGAGAGAGAGAGATAGAAACATCAATGATGAGAGAGTCATTGATCGAGCCCGCAACCCGGGCATGTGCCCTGACCGGGAATCGAACCCCGATCGCCTGGATCCCAGGTCGATGCTCAACCACTGAGCCACGCCCAGCCGGGCATAATACATTTTTAAAAAAGAGATATGATGGAAGGAATTTGCCTGGCTAAGTTAATGCAGAGCATAGAGAAGAATCACCCAAAAGAGAAGATAAAAAAAGACCGAATGGGTAAATTATTCAAGGAAGCAACTGGTAAAGTTATAGAAAAAGAGAAGTGTCCACCAAGAAGTGGAAACAAAAGCATGGTATTCTTGGAGAAATGACAAGCAGAAAGTAAGAGAGGCAGAGAAAATGAGAAGGGAAGAGATTGAATGGGACCGTGCCGACATGGTCCTGGGCTGTAGACAGAGACAGGGAACAAACTTCATGGAAATCCTCCGGCCTGAGTCCAGGGCGCTGTATGCAGAGTGATTTGGTCTCGGGTTTCTAACAGGAAACCCCTTCCTCAACTGGCATAGACTGCTCTGGTCTTAAAGCTGACGATAGAAGGAAGGATGAGCTGCAAAGCCGTACTGAGGTGACTAATTAAAACCTAATAATGGGTCAACCTAAACCAAACCAAAGTAAGTAATAAAACTTTGTCTATCTACTGTGTGGCCTTGGGGGCAAGTCACTTAATTGCTCTAAGCCTCAGTTTTTTCTTTTGCAAAAAAATTGCTATTCAACAAATCGTACATATACAGCGCACCTCTCAGAGCCACTGTTCATTTTCCATTTCCCGGAGCCAGTTCTTCAGGTAATAAAACGGAGCCTCAGGGAAATGAAGTGAGGAGCATAAAATTACACAGCTAGTTAATGGTGGAATCCAAATTCTAGTCCCACACTTAGTTCACTTTTCCTTGTAAACATTGTCTCAATTAAGAGCCACAGAAACTCTACGAAGTAAAAATATGTATTTACAGAGGAGGAAATCTAGAGAAGAGGAAACCAGGATATATATAGTCCCCATTATTTGGTCCTTCCACCAGGACCCAACCCCAAGTTTCTGTTGCTAAATTAAGGGCTTTTTCACATACACAGAATCTGCTGTGAGTCAGCGAGACAACACGGGCAGAGAGAAGCGGCCGCTCTGACTGCCTGTGGGCACGAAGCGGGCACGGCTGCCATCCTCCCCAGGAAGCCCAGGTTTCAAACTCTGCCCTGTGTTCAAAACATCCGTTTGGATGACTTTTTAATTTAGAAAATATGGGCAGAGAAATAACAACGGCTAAGATGGACTCAAGCGCCATGACTGCGGCGAGGACGGCGAGAGGAAGAGGGGGGCTGTGCGGGGCGCCGCTGTGCGCAGGGGGCGCCGCTGTGCGCAGAGCTCCCCGCGCGCCGCGGGGGCTCCATCGGCC